CAAATAGTTTCTAGTTGTTCCCAAAGACTTGCTTTTGATTAAACTTTTGTGTGATCTATCTTTGAATCCATTAAATCCCAACAATAATTATATTTTAGCATTAGAAATACTACTGTGCCTAAAGAGCTTACACATACTGGTGGATTAATCATTACAGAAACATACAAAATCATTTTGGCAATCATCAATACTATTATTTTAGGGCAGCTGTGGCGCAAACCTTACATTGGGTGGTGGTCTAATAAATTTGTTAAGCACTGTATATATAGTTGTCATGTCTCTAATAAGATGGGTCACAAACATGATCTAATCTAGCATCTTATTAAGTCACTGTCATCCATTGTCTCAAACACATTTCTTCTCCCTCTTCATCTTTCGCCCATTTTCTCCTCTGCTAAAGAAACTCTTAAAGGGTTAGTTCACCCAAAAATTAGGCAGCGTTTTACTCACCCCCGAGGCATCCTAGGTGTATATGACTTTCTTCTTTCAGACGAATCCAGTCAGAGTTATATTAAAAATGGTCTTTGATCTTTCAAGCTGTTTAATGCCACTCAGCGGGTGTTGCATTGCTTCAGTCTAAAATAACTTAAATAAAAATCGCCCATCCATAAAAAAAGTGTCTCACACGGCTCCGGGGGGTGAACAAAGGCCTTCTGTAGCGAATCGATGCGATTTTGTAAGAAAAAAATATATATATATAAATATTCAAAATGTAATAATCACTTGAATCTAGCTTGCACTCACTGTTGTAAACAGAAGTAGTTCCGGGGGAATGACGTATGAGATCGGCTTTTAAACAGCTTGAAAGATCAAAGACAATTTTTTATATAACTCCGAATGGATTCGTCTGAAAGAAGAAAGTCATATACACCTAGGATGCCTCGGGGGTGAGTAAAACGCTGCCTAATTTTTGGGTGAACTAACCCTTTAAGAGTTTCTTTAGCAGAGGAGAAAATGGGCGAAAGATGAAGAGGGAGAAGAAATGTGTTTGAGACAATGGATGACAGTGACTTAATAAGATGCTAGATTAGATCATGTTTGTGACCCATCTTATTAGAGACATGACAACTATATATACAGTGCTTAACAAATTTATTAGACCACCACCCAATGTAAGGTTTGCGCCACAGCTGCCCTAAAATAATAGTATTGATGATTGCCAAAATGATTTTGTATGTTTCTGTAATGATTAATCCACCAGTATGTGTAAGCTCTTTAGGCACAGTAGTATTTCTAATGCTAAAATATAATTATTGTTGGGATTTAATGGATTCAAAGATAGATCACACAAAAGTTTAATCAAAAGCAAGTCTTTGGGAACAACTAGAAACTATTTGAAAGTCAGTAACAATAGAGACTGTGGAAAAGTATATAAAAACAATGGCAGCAAGAATGCAAGCTGTTTTCAAGGCGAAAGGAGGGCATATAAAATAAAAATAAAATATAGGGTTTTTGTTATTATGTGTGAATACTAGAATAATAGAAGACTATTTAGTTGTTTCAGTTTATTTGCCCAATAAATGACCATTTTTAGTTTTGAAAAAGTTTTTGACAGATTCCTAAAATATTTGTTTTCTCACTTTATTATGACAGGTGGTCTAATCAATTTTTGTGTGCGTATGTATATTTATATATATTTAACTGTAATTTCAAAGTGAAGGCTTATAATAGACCCTATTTAAGTGTTCTTTTTTTCCCTTCTTGGACAACTAATCACAGTCTTCAGAAGAATGTGTCATACCCAGCAATGTGGTCAGCCCCACCTCCTCACTAAGATGAACATTTTTGTCGTTTTTTTCACTCAAAATTTGTTCTCAGATTGGTCCTGAATCACTCTTAAGCTACGATTCTTAATTTTTAAGATGAATTAGGAGCTTTCTGAGAGGATTCGTAGAAGAATAAAGGCTGAGATCTGTAGATGATCTTAAACATTTGATTTAGGAGTTATCTGCATCAAATAGCATACCTCAAATGTAAATATTATGTGATATTGACCGTCAAGTCCCTCAGGGAAATAATTTTTTTTTTTTGCCTGTTGCCTGAATTGCCTGTTCAGTCTCCAAAACCTACAAGTATTTTCATTCAACCATTCATTCAAGCCTGGTTCTCTCCTACAGCAAGTTCATACAAAATACTGGGGGGGAAATGTCATACCATTGTTTCTGTTTGTGTAAAGGAAAACTGTCTGCTAGCTACCATGTAAATAGTGTTTATAGTCTGTTTTTGTAGTTGAATATTTTAATAATAAAAATGTTAAAGCTTCATGGTCTCTTCACTTTTTAAGGAAAAGAATATATAGTTTTTATATTAAGTTTTTAACTGATAAACTTTAGTGCTGGGCATTCTTATCCAGAAAACAGATTTTGAGTTTTAGAATAAATAACCAATGAGGTTATGCTAGACCCTTAATTGCCACAAGGTGTCGCTATGTTGTATTTATATATTTTAAAAAATTGCCTTTCATGAGGCAAAATTTCCTGAAACTGTTTGGCTGGCTTTGTGAAATATCATGGATCTTGCTCACTGAACTTCAAGTCTACGGTCCCAGGTAAGCAGTGACACAGGAAGTAGATGGTTACGGTATATCTCAATGTGTCTTTGAAGAAAGCATTTACACAAAGGATTGGACTGAAGTTATTGCATTTATGCCATTAGATTAGATTAGATTCAGCTTTATTGTCATTGTGCAAAGTACAACTACAAAGAAAGCCAATTAAATGGTTAGCTCTGACCACAATCTCAGAAAAAAAGGTACAAAAGCTGTCACTGGGGTGATATCTTTTCAAAAAGGTACACTTTTGTACCTTTTAGGTACTAATATGTACACTTTAGGTACTAATATGTGCAAATATGCAAGTACTAATAGGGAACCTTTATGTACACGTGTAGCTTTTTTTTTTACCACCCCACTGACAGCTTTTGTCTGAGAGTGCAGAAATGCAAATAACAATATGTCTATAAATATGTGCATAAATATGTACTATCGTGTTCTATAAAAAGTGCATAAGTATGAGGTTGCGAAAGCAGTAACCAGCTCAGTGCAAGAGACAATGTATACAAACAGAGAACAAAATCGTATAAATGGGATAAAGGCTATAATCAGCTTTATGATGGTTTCTTTGCATATTACAAACAACTATTTGCAATTTAAGGAAACAAACTGATACAAAGGTTCTTGTTCATCCATCAGAGATTTATCAAATAATTATTCTTAGTGATATAATTGGAGAAATAGTAATAAAATAAAATCAATCTTAATAATTTAAGTTTTTTAAAGTGATATTTGTTACGTATCCGGTCCATGAACTTCCGTCTGCTAGCCTTCAGAGGTCACCCTTTCCATTTTCATTGACTCTCGCACTACACACTGTTGCATATCATCCCGGACTACATATCCCATCATTCATTGCACTGATTGCACACAGCACTGATTGCACACAGCTGTTTCATATCACTCACTCACTATTTAACACTCACTCTGATCCCTTCCCGCCGCCGAATATTGTTTAGCGCCTATCTCTTGATAGCTACTCTACAGAGCCCTCGTTAGCCTAGCCTAGCCTGTTTTCTCGGTTCCTGATCTTCGCCTGGTTTCCTGGATTTCTCCCTTTAGTCTTGTCCCTTCTGATTCTGTTTGCCGTTCATCGACCTACGCTAGCCCTAGGACTATTCTTGTGTCTTGCCCGCCATATACCTGTTTGCCACTGTTTGACCCTGCCTGTGCTTCTGACCTCTCTGCTCAATAAAGCTTTGCATATGGATCCGCACGTCTCACGTCTCGTCAGCCCCGTAACAATATTATTATTAATTTCAGGTATATTGTAATGTTTGAGATTATATCTTCAATCCTTTTCAGGTCACAGATCCCTCACTGTATATTCCATAAAACTAGTGTTGCAATTTAAGTAGCCTATGTAATACAATGCTATTTTAATATAGCCTAATTATGTACTTTGTTATGGCTGCATTTTAAAACAATCAAAAAGAAAAAAACAATATTGATGTAAAGAGCCACATTACATTTTAACTTTATACATTTTAATGTAGAGGTACAATGAAACATTTAGATACTTTTGTTTCTTAACTTTTACTTTGGTTGAAAGCAGCGGTGGACAGTGAAGTATTTTACTTTACTCAAGTCAATGTAAAAAAGTATCTGTATCAGTATCAGTGTTTTTCTTTGGAAAACTTTTTACTTCACTACATTCCAAAGCATAATGTACTTTTTACTGCACTACATTTCATAAATAAAATATTTATTTTTACCTTCGATACTTAAGAACATTTAATATGATCAATTAAAATAGTACTTTCTTTTACTCAAGTAAAACATTGAATTACTTTTACTCGAGTAAAAGAAAGTACTACATTTCTAATGTAATTAAGAAGGCTATTAAATGATATTTAATATGAAACGTAGTGCAGTAAAAAGTAGGCTACAATATTATGCTTTGGAATGTTGTGAAGTAAAAGTTTTCTAAAGAAAAACACTGATAAAATACAGACACTTGAAAAGTACTTTTACAGCAGAGTAAAAATGCTTCACTTCTGTCCACCTCTGGAAAGCTGAAAACTTAATGTAGTATTTTTTATTTAACGCATACTTTCATATTTTTCAAAAATGAGTTTGAAATCAAACTGATTCAACAGGCAGTACAGTAACTGGCGTAGGTAAAAGCTCACAGTTGTCACCTGCCTGTATTATTATCATTACATTAAACACACAGCACCCCAGCACTAGTTTTAAATGACCCCCCTCCCTCCCCCCAACCGCCCCTTTCTTCAATGAAAACTGAGATTGCGGGGGGCGGGGGTGGAAAAGACCATGAAAGGACAGAGCTGGAGGACACTTTTAAGAGCTGTTTGTTTGGGATAGTATTTGTGACTTGTCCCCCGACTTTTTATTTGAAGAAATAGAAGCTTAAGGACTTTCTCGCAGGAAAAACACAGCGCTTTAATAGCGTCCAACTGGTCCCGCCACAGAGATTGAGCGCGAGCTAGCAGAAGTTAGCTGGACGGCTATCGGCGGCGGGTGAGGGGTCGACAGAGAGCGCCGTCATCAAACCTAGTAGCATGTCGCCCTCGGGAAGAAGTAGCTCGAGCTTTGGATGAGGTTCCGTGGCGCAGTTCGATCGCAGAGACTTTTTGACGCGACGGTGGGTTGTGATGTTTCCGCAAGCGCGGGGCTCCGGTGGAGGCGCGGCGTCGGCGGTGTCCCGGGGCTGGCCGCATACGGTACTGTGGAGACTAGGGGGTTTCTATCTCCTCCTGCTTGTCGAAGGGGCCCGATGCCTCGCCAACCCGAGCAATGCACCGGGCATAAACAATAACAACAGGCCGAATGTGAACGTCTTCATGAGCGAGGAAGAGGTCAAGAAACTCCTGGGTGCGTATACTTTATTTCTCCGTCTGCTCAACTATATTCCTGCTCTTTCCAAAGTTTTGCTTGGAACTAGAAGTTTTTGGCACTCTGTCAAACTAACTTCATTGCTTCTAACTAACTGCTAAAAGCTAACTCTTGTGTGTGTTTAGTGTCCAGACGGACACAAGTAGTTACAAACATGCTCACAGACTGCTAAAAACGTTGTTGTAGTTGGTTAGCTCTCAATATGTTAGCTTTGATAGGCCAACACAATCCGCGGCGTCCTTGTAAACTCAGTTTAATCGCTAATATCTGCCCAGAAATGTTTCAAAATGCACATGTGAAAGTAGTTCTGGGAGGTTATTATTCAGCATGCTATTTAACAAGAATGAAAGACCCCATTGGGTTTGTCATTAGGTCGAAACTGGTTGCTTGAAAGTTTTCTAAGTGTTCCAATGCTTTCCATGCTTGAGTTAATTGTGTGGTGATTTGTAAGGTTTAGATCACTCACATGTACAAGATACTGAGCAGAGGTGTATGAGCTGATCGGAGTCATTCATTCTCATTGGTGTGTGTCAGAATTAGTTGACACAAAAGCCACACAATGGATTTTTCCTCAGAAGTTTTACTGCTTTATGTCAGACCAGTCAGTAAACACTGTAAATGCAAGGCACATTTAACCCTGGAACGCATGCCGCCGTTAGTATATAACCAAAAAGTGCTTAATCCAATTCTTTAAGCTTGTAATGAGAATCAGATTTTTATAACTGTATAGCAGACTACTTGCATAAAATGCGTTGTTGTCACTCTATATCTCTCAATAATATGTCTTAGTATGGTGACATTTAAATGTCTAGTTTTATTATCAAATTTCTGTATTTTTGGGGGTCAAATACAATGCACTACAATGCTGATTGAGAGATGTACAAATAGATTTCATCAAAAGCCTGTTGTATATATTTGATACTCATATTTTTACGTGATTTTCTTTTAAAAAAAAGTATGGAAGGTCCTGTAGAAATTATCAAATTTCTGTATTTTTGGGGGTCAAATACAATGCACTACAATGCTGATTGAGAGATGTACAAATAGATTTCATCAAAAGCCTGTTGTATATATTTGATATTCATCAAAAGCCTGTTGTATATATTTGATACTCATATTTTTACGTGATTTTCTTTTAAAAAAAGTATGGAAGGTCCTGTAGAAGCAGGATTTTGTACAGCAGATTTTTCAGCAAAGTTTTGATCGTGTTTGTAATTTAGAGGCCTTAGAAATTCATGCATCAAATATGATACAGTTGGCTTTATAGGGTTAAATGCAAGAGAGTGCATTTTCATACATTTCTCACATGCTTGTAATCCTAATGGAAAACTATATGTACAGTATAATTAGGCAGTTAGTTAACAACATGTTGTGTTTGTTTGACTTGATGGCTCTGCTTAAAACAATTTGTGCAGAATATAGTCCTCTTTCCAGACTAAAGGACCAAACTAGATGTTTTGTACTCTGAATAATTTAATGCATTCATTGTTCTTGAAGATAAAAATCTTTGGGATGCCCTTGATATGTTTGTATTCAGAGTAGATTTTTGGTTCAGCACCACTGTGATTAATGCAGTGAGAACTGAATAGTGGTTGTTAATTGCCGGGTATTTGTGACTGGGCCAATAAGCAGTCATTATCATTGCTAATGTCACAGCGTAGTTAATGAAAGGGTTGGGGGCTGGAGCATCAATTTCCTGCTGGAAAGAGGAAGCGGAGACGAGGACATTTTGAAGCAGCCTTGTTTGAGCTTGTTTTGAGGGTTTACCCTTTCAGCTCAAATTGAGAGCAATTTCTATTAAACTGAAAATAAAACCAAAATTATATTTGGCATTTATGTAATGTGATGCAAATGCGGTAGCATTTAGCTTCAAAGCTTGAACTCTGAATGTTGCCATATGGAGTATAAGGTTTCAAATGAGGCAGTGTACTTAAACTTTTTACATTTGAATGCTTTGAATTTTGTAAACGATGTAAACTAACCAGATGTTCAAGACATGTTTAGTTTTTGATCAATGTTGGTATATTAACGGCTGATTCTGGTATCTAAAAAGAGCATGAGGGCCGATATAATGTTAATATATTTAAAGAATACAACTTAAACCTATTGTACCTGGTTTAAGGTAATTCAAATGGAAAGGGTTTTCTTTGAATGTTGGTAATAAGAATCCAAATGTGAAGGCACAATGTGGGTTTATTTGAGCTTTTCTGAAATGCAAACAGGTTTGAAAGATGATTGTCCCCCTCTGGTCTCATACCTCTGTTATCCTCTGTAAAGCTGACCTGCATATTTTTTGTCACGACTGGCTTTGGGAACAGAGCTCATAGCTATGAGTGCCTCTTTCTGGGTGCTCTGCATTGCCGTGTCTCCTCATTGATGATTGATGAACTTTATGGTGGGCTTTTACATTCTTTGATGATCATATCAGGTTATTATAATCAACATGTCGCCTGTAGTTTTATGTGGGGTGCTCTGGCATTTCTCTTGTGATGGGTGCTGGAATGGAGCGCTTTAAATTTTATTTTAGGGTAAGTGGAATGGAGCTGCTCTTTAAAAAAAAAAAACATTGTCTTCATTGTCATTTGCCCCTTCGCTCTTCTGCTGCTGTGTCACTTTGTTTTTGTGCATTCTGGGATCCTTAAACCTACTCAGACTGCATTCATTTTGAACCTGAAGGTTTTATGTCATGTACATTAACTTCACATAAGAATTGCCAACAATCACTGTGTCATTCTCTGTTAACATTATTTTTTTCCCCTCTCTGTCTGGTTCAACAATGGGTGCTGGCCATCTTGGAATCAAAACCACCTTGTTATGCTGCAGTAGACTGAGGGGCCGTTTACACGACAATGTTTTCAGCCAAAAACGGGAAAATTTTTATACGTTTTGCCTATTCGTTTACACGACAGCGGCGTTTTGGGGACTGAAACTATATTTTTGAAAACCGGGTTTCAAAGTGCAAGTTTTTGAAAACGCCACCGTTATCGTTTCAGTGTAAACACCCAATACGGGAATCTTTGAAAATGGTGGTGTCATGCGCGTGCTTAAAATCTAATTAGTTGGGCTTACTTAAAAAAACAAAAAACAAAAAAAAAACATGCAACCCAATTGCCTTGAAAAAACTAAGTAAATTGAAATAGGTATAGTATGTTGTACTGACAAATGCTTAGTTAGTATAGTTTACTTACACGAGAGTTCTAGTAACTAAAAAAAGGACTGTAGGGGGTACTTGATCCTTTCATTTAGGTTTACTCATGACTTAGTATAGCTACTCACTGACTCCCAGAGTGCATTGCGGCATGAATAAATTATGCAGTTGCTTTGTTTTACAGTTGTTGATTTTATTTGCCAATTTTATTTGCTGTCTTGTGTCAGTAGTAGCACAACAAAAAGAGCAAATAAAATGGTTGTTGTTGTTACAATTAATGAAAATAAATGAAATTGAATTTTTACCATTGTTGTGATTCATGTGCTGAATGTTTAAGTCTGTGTGTGACTTCAGCATATTACCACACACTAGTGATGGGAAGTTCGGATCATTTTACCGACTCGGACCTTTGAGTCTCGTTCAGCAAAATTAATGAATCTTTTTTTCGAGTCATTTCGTTCATTTTAGCAAAATATAATTACTTCCCTAACACATCTACTATTTACGCAAAGGTTGATCACACTACAAACAACACAAAACTGCTATAAGAAGCAGAAAAGATTAATTCATTGTTTACCTGGGTCTTCAGTCTATGATTAGCTCACCTTCTTATCTGACAAGTCTTTGGGTTTGAGACGTTCGTTCATCACGTGACAGCCCCACAGACTGCATAGGTTAAACTTATGGGGCTGTCACGTGATGAACGAATGACTCGGAAAAACCTGAAGACTCGAAACAGGTGAACTACTTGACTAATTCCAGTACAGAACCTATAGGATTTTGCGGATGCGTGACTGAACGAATCACTCCCCGAGAAAATTAACGAATCGTTCAAGAACAACCCAACACTACCACACACTATTTAAGGACTCATGCTGTTGTAGTGAAGAGAGAAAGCTTTCACTCTCTCCTTCAGAGTCCCAACACCACAGGGATGAAAAATCTCAACTATCCAGCTCTTCATTGCTAACAGACAGCGTCAGCCCTCTTCTGTCAGAGTTATTTTGGGGGATCATTAGATGGCCTTGCACAGTATATGGCAATACATCGAATGTTTAGGTCATGAAACACATCCACTCTGATTTACGATGTAAACTTGCTGCCTATGAAACGTAAAAAGGGGAAACTCCATATTAGGAGAGACCTCAAGAGGTTGAGGTATTTGGCCTGGCCCAGTCTTTTATCAGTAGTTTCCATGGCAGCGTGAAAGGGAGGTGAGCAAGTTGCTGATTTAAATCGATGTGTTTATGCAGGGTTGATCCTGACACTCAGAAAAACAGCAAGAATGGACATGCGACTGAATTTATAGTGTTATGAGGAGATCTCGTTTAATGAAGTGTGTCCACTGACTCGCCACAAAACTTGAGGGATAGTTGGGAAGCACTTTTATGTCAAATCGTTTTTCACTATTTCATTACTAATACTAACTATGATGGAAATATGCAGTAATCGACAAGGGATTCTATTTCTGGAAGGACTTCTATGTCTGCGATGTTGTGACTGGCAGCCTGGTTGTGTGTTAGTGAAGGTTTCATTTGAGTTTGAATATTATTTTGCGTGATTTTGACCGCGATCATTAAAAAGACCATTAGTAATTTACCTCAGATCTTAGAAAGTAATTTAAAGAAAACAAGAATGTTCAAACTGATTTTTTTATTTTATTTTATTTTGTGGTGAGTGCTTGAAGAGAGAATGAGACCGTATGCACACTCTTCTGATTGGCTTTGATTTATAAATTATTTTGAATTTCTTTAAATTTTTAATTGATTTTTCTTGTCTGTGGAGTATACTGGGTCTCATTTTCTTAAGTGTGCATGTGCGCACATTTGTG